ACACAGATCTCCTGGTGGAAACGTATCACCACTCAATTTTGACGCCACGATGACAGTTTTTACGAATTTGAAATTAAATTGGTATATGTTTAGATTAGTGTTTAATATTTAGATTACTGTTTACCCTAGTGTTTCCCGTCAAAGACCATGCATGTAAAAAAATCGTAAATTTCGTATTACTAACATGACGAACATGAAAGCTATATGTATATTGAACAAAGCGCAAACGCGCGAAAACTTGAACATTCAAGTTCGCAGAATTACCGCTACATGCATAAACCAGATGCGTCATTTTCAGAAACATTTCACACACCACGCGTAAAACACCTTCATTTCTTCATCTACTTCTCCCAGAAACTGTACACGCCATTTTTGCGTCCAATTTCGGACCCCAAATTAGACGGAAATTGTTCCGTGTAAAACAGGCTGTACACTGAGCGACGGGGACGCGCGGGTTGCAGGGCAGCAGGCGGGTTAGGTCTATTCCACCCGGTGAACGGGCTGTTCCACGGCGGGCCGAGCGCGTTTCGCGAATCCCAAAGGATCCCGTGGCGGCGGGGGCGGAGGAGGCGGTGGCTGTGGCGGCGGCCCCGTCGGCGGTTTGTGCCCACTCGCCCGTGACCGAGAATCAGCGTACGAACCGTTCGACCGACGCTAACGAAATTTTATGTGGGAGTACCCGCGCCGCAAATCGCCGTAAGTCGTGTAGGAAATGCAATTTGAAGCGATATACGAAAACCGTAAACCCAATTCTAGGACTTCCGCTCGGCACACACGCGTGTTTCGACGAGATTGTAGTACGCGCGCGCGCGTGGGAAATGTAGTGCCGAATTTTCATTGCTGCTGATGGAGAGAGAGAGAGAGACAGAGAATCGTGCTTCTGCGTTTAAAGAGTTGTTCCGTGGAAGATTTCGTAGATGATGTACTCGTATTGCGCGGTCTTATTATCACTTTGCTTAATGAAATAGTTTCAAAGAAGGGTAAGCCCGTTTTCATCTCGGTCTTTCTTCCTGACACTTGTGTGAAATGATACTTTAAAGCTCATTCATTTTCCTAGTAATTTTCCACCCGAATTTCAGTAATATTAAATATCTTCTTGTTGTTATGAACTCAAAACGTAAAACGTAATACTTTTGTAAATGCATTAAATCTACTCAGTAAAACAAATTGGCCTTATGCGATATATAGCCACAGTTATTAACGTTTCATCTCGGATCACTACTGTTTAAGAAAGGGTGTACATAAACAACCAACTGTCACGTATCCTTAAAAATTAACCGCTATCCTTTTTCCCTATCCTGCACTCATTCTTATCGTAGGAGCCAAAAAATCGATGATAATCCTTCACTATTCGACGGAGCACCGTGGATTGACTAAGAAAACAACGTATGTGTATAAAACATAAACATTTCATCTATTGCAAAAGTAATCTAAAAAAGTGGTATTTGAAGAAATGAAGTGAACATTCAATAAATCTATCAAACAACCTTCTTAATAGTGAACACATATACAGACTAAAACGAAAACTCATCTTCGAAATGCCAAACTATTTTGTGTCATTTCAAATAATTTTATTAATGCTTTCCACGAAAAGATTATACATTTTGTAGATGTGAAATTAAAAAAACAACAACTGATATTTGAAAACAAGGCGATCCTCAGTTGATCTGGAAAATATTCCAGATGCGATGGAAATAAAGGCTGCAGCTAAAAATCGCGGACTCCCTAGCCAGTACATGTCTTGTATAGAGGGGTACCATAAATAAACATAACTTCATACAATAATAAATCTGTATTTCCATCTTATATCAAAAGAATTATAAACCTTAACCTTGTGGAGCAAATTCATGTGATAGTTGTCATTGTGATGAAAATGCATGGCATATCATGAGTGGGGTCTATTTTTTGCCATTGAAAGTGCAATACAACCCAGCGAAACATTATTTCCGTTCCTTGAAACAGCCTAAATGAATTTACCTCATACATCGCATTAAAATATAAAGGTATATGTACTGAAATAGTTAATTTGACTTTAATAATTCAAATTGTTCGATATCCCATAAAAGTAGTTTCTTTCGAAATACAAAATTAAAAAATTGAAATTAATTTCAATATTCATTTCCATTATTGAATTTTACTTTTTAGTTATTAGAGCGTCGTTTTGAAAATATCTTCAAGAAAAAATCAATATACGTAAAGAAAGATAAGAAAACAACATTAAATTTAACAATATTATTTGTTCCTCTAGGTGTTTGGACATTACATTTTAATTGTTTTAACCCATTGAAGTATATATTTCTATTTTTATTATTTTGTAAATTGAAAGCCAATTTGTGATATTAGTCCTTAAATTCTCTTGAACCTCATTCTTGCATTCACTCGAATTTTTTTATTCCATTATTTTTTAATGCAATACTGTAATCGAAGAAAATTTAGTTGATACAAAAGGCAGGTAGTCAGACTGTACTTTTCCCCACATATGTCACACAGTTTTTTTTACTCTTTTCGATGGCGAATAAATAAACATTAATAGTGTACATCTTCATAATCATTGTATCTAAATAGTAAAATTTTCTATTTCCTTCATTTCTTCTTCTTTTTCTCACGTTGGTCGTAAATTGTGAATTCCCTCTCCCCTCCAGCGCGTGGACGGACTTGGCATTCGCCTCTGGTCTGCACG